TAGGTTTTCTTGTGCGTAGAGAATGTATGAGCAGTGCGCGATTGAGTAGGTGCATAGCTTAGAGGGAACATTGCATCCGAGCTTTTGCCTCAGCAACAACTACGGTTGCGGACCGCTTGGCCCTCCGGTACTCCTCAGCTATCTCCAGAGTCTCACCAGCCAACAAGGAACGATAGGACTCCTTCTTCAGCTTGACAGCCTCCCTAACCCGGGGTGTCCACCACCAAATTCGAGGATGGCCACTGCGAGAAACACTGACAACCTTGCGGCCACAGTTCATGATAGCCACTTCAACAATTGAGTCACAGAACATGGCCCACTCGGACTCAATGTCCCCTACCTCAGTTGGGATGCAGTTAATGCTCTCCTGGAGGTGTGAGTTTAAGATCTCTCTGACGGGTTCTTCTGCCAGGCGTTCCCAGCAAATCCTCACTACACATTTGGGTCTACTGGGTCTGTCCGACATCTTCCCTCGTCATCTGATCCAACTCACCACCAGATGGTGATCAGTTGACAGCTCAGCTCCTCTCTTCACTCGAGTGTCCAAAACAAACGGCCGCAAATCAGATGACACAACTACAAAGTCAATCATCAATCGAAGACCTATAATGTCCTGATGCCAAGTGCACTTATGGACACCCTTATGTTTGAACATGCTGTCCGTGATGGACAAACCATGACTAGCACAGAAGATGTTTTTCTCTCCAATTCTACTGCTCTGTTTTCCAGCTTGATGTTTCGCTCCTTCAGATCTTTCATCTCCTTCTCCAATTTCTTACTTTTGTCTTTCTTTTACTTTATTCCTTCTGCTTTGAAATCCACAGCCTTGGTGATCTTAACAATGGCTAACTCCTCCTCCTTAGATAGAGAACTTGACTAATTGGCTTTTATGTACGTGAATGTTTCTGTAAAGTGCCCAGAGACAATTTTGTTGTGATTTGGCGCTATATAAATAAACTGAATTGAAAAAATTGAATTAACGTGTTTTGTTGTAATTCCTTCTTGAAGTCGGTCATCAGACTCTGAAGTGAATTAACTGCTGGAAGGATCGTGGCATTAGAGATGGACTGCAAAGTAGTTTCAGGGTTAGATGTTTCATTTTTGGTGGATTTGATTGTTTTTGGCTGCTGTGGAGATTTCACTGGCGACGACAAAACGTTTTTGAATCCTTTAACGTCAGTCTCCATAACTTCTGACACACACTCATGCGAGAAGAGTGCTTTAGCATTAGCTTTGGGGTTAGCTTTAGCCATGTCCGCAGTAGAAGTTATTAGAGGCTATTAGTACAGTAGTTCCTTGCTACTTGGCGGTTCGTTTATCGCGTATTAGCTATATCGCGTGTTATCAAAGTAAGATTGGACATGACACAATTGGCTGATTGATGGATGAGCCATGGATTGTTTATTTAAAATAAATTATTTTAAATGATTTTGCACCATGTGTGCCACCCACAAGTGAAAGGGAAGCTCCCTCCTGCAGTTGATCAGCTGATCTTCTCTGCCACACACATTTCTCCTGCTGCAGCTTTTTGAAGGGCCCTTTGCTGTCCAAATGCACCGATCGACTTTTCAAGTCAAGTCAATTCAAAAATACTTTTAATTTCCCTCTGGGATTAATAATGTTGTAGCTCATTTTCCTTGTTTCATAAAAGAGTTGTTCTAGATGTTGATGGTTGTGGGCGGGAAGGATCTCTTGTGTCTTATAGCAGATCTGAAAAAACTGGCCACAGATGTTGATCCGTTTACTTGCACTTAGTTGGCCTCCTGGGCTTCAGGATCACCTGAATGTTGGGCAGAAATCCTCCCAGGGCAATGGCCACTCCTCCCAGCAGCTTGTTGAGCTCCTCATCGCTGCGGACAGCCAACTGTAAGTGCTGATGGACGATCCTGTCCTTCCGATGTCATGAGCCGTGTTTCCTGCTAGTTCCAGCATCTCAGTGGTCAGGCACTCGAGCACAGCTGGCAGGTAGATGAGAATGCGTCCACAAAACATCCTTTTCAACTCATTTGAGATTTGGAGCTGTAGTTGAGATATTATTTGAGCTTTTGAGAAGTTAATCGGCTGCTGTTGGTTGCAGAAACTGCCTTGTTGCCATGGTTACGCATCATAACAAATGTCCAAAACTAAAAAAGTTTCAGTAAAAATCCTTCCAGCTGCACAGCATCTGATACCAGAGGAAACATTCATCCAAAAAATGTGATTTACATCCAGAAAAAGATAAATTAAAGTTTCCAAAAGCAAAATCTCAGAATGAAAGTAGCAGAGCTGCTCCAACATGCAGACACATTGAGCGGCGCAATTCTAGAACTTCTAATTCTAACATTTTGTCTTCCAACTTAAAATTCAAAGTATGTCATATTGTAAAATCATCATAATCACAAAATATAAAAGTGTTAAAAGTTATTTTTAATTATTTTAGAATTTCTATGTTCACTTGTTTCAGTGTCATTGATCAAGAAGTTCATTTGTGCTCTGTGCTGCAGAGCTGAAGCTGTGACATCCTGTGATGTCCTGCTGCACTTTTCTTCTCTACAATTTAAGTTTAAATACTGTAACATTTTAAATAAACAATCCGATTGTTTATTTAAAATGTTACAGTATTTAAATTCAAATTCTTTATTTAAGGAGGGAGATTGGAAGGAACAGGTAATGAGTGTGTAGGGCTGGGTACCTTTCTAAAATCTGTGTCAGTACCTTCACTTCCGTGTCGGTTCCTGGACGGTTCTTTTTTCGGTACCAATTTTGTAATTATTATTAATTCTAAGAAGAAGAAAATTGTTACTCATTACAGTACAAATCAAGAGTTTTACTTTTTAACTTTGATATTTTACCATTCCAAGCAGTTTTCGTACATAAAAATAAATAATTTCCAGGTCAAAAGACCAGTTTCAAACCAGTGACATGTCAGTGTCTAATGCTCCCTGCTACATACTGAGGACCTTTTCACTGAACAGTTTGTCTTCAGAAACATCAACATGTCTGTTTTATCTGGACACAAACCAGCTGCTCCTGGCTGATGGTGTCTCCAGCAGTAAAACATGTTCACTCTGAGGGTGAGGATGATGATTGTTACACACACAGATACCTGGTTGTCAGTTTGACAGCACTGACACATTGTCCCTCACATTCCACCAGCAGGTCACTGGATTCACTGAGGTTAGGGTTGATGCAGACTTCTACACCTGTCTCTCTTCCTGAATCTTCTCTGTGGTTCTCTGGGGTTTAGTGTTCTGATCATCTTCCTAACTGACATGAGAACACAAAACATTAACAATAACATGATTGTGTAATTATTGCTCAAAAACAATTATCCAGGCGGAGAGATAAAGGTTTAACTGGTCAACAACATCCTTTACAGCTTAACTTACCTCCACCATGCAGCCTCCACTGTAGTTAAAAGCAGCAAACTTTTAACAACAAAGTTTGTGACTGTCATGCACACACCTCACTGTTCTTTTGTCAGTCTCTCTCCTCCTCACATCTGGGTCAGAACCTCCTGTGAGGAGAAGATTAACATAAATAGTGAACATCAGATGAACTGTTTAACCAGCTGTCTGGATGGATGAGCACATTTTTACAAGCTTTATCTGTTACTGTCAATCTTTAGTTAGCTTCTGAGTTTAGCTAGCTACATAGATAAAATAAAGCTCCACACTAACATCTTAAAGTTAGCGTTGCATACTTTACCATTTTATTTATAGAGCACTTAAAACAGCGACAAGGCCAACCAAAGTGCTGTACAGACAGAACAACAGACAACACACAAAGCAATATACAAAATGAAGTAAATCAGAATATAGACATAAAAATGATGCAGATAATTGGTTCGTGTCTCAAGTACCCAGACTCAAATGATTTGGGCTGAATGGATCAGATCTTGGGGATTTTACTCAGTCACGTTCCATCGGTGTGGCCATGTATTTTGGACATTTCGGAACCAAGTGGACCAACACAGACTCAAGGTAGATGAACTTAAATTCTGCTTGTCTCCAAAACAACTGTGTGTTTATCCAAGTTGGCTCCCCTTGGCTGGCCTTGAAGGTCATCTTATCTGAATACACCTGGAGAACATGTGATCTGACGCTCACCACCCCCTCCCTGAGGAATTTCCAACTGATAACCAGATGGAACCAGCTGAATAAACTTTGTGTCATCATTTCAGGACTCTTGGATTCTCATAGACGTTATTCTTGGCCATTCCTCGACATCCCTTGAGAATGTTTATGGATCTCACTGGAGGACATTGGCTGATTATTACATCTTTATCAGAACTCTTACAGTGACCTTGAAAGCATCTATGAACATGCTGACTGCTCTCGGCTCCCCCCCCCCTCCCCTCTGCAGAATGTCTGTCACTATGTGCTTGTTTGTGCGAGGTGTTTTTTTAATATTAGAGGTTTTTTTTCTCAGGCAAGAAAAAAAAAGTCTGATAGGAATTTTTTTCACCTCCAACTCCTACATGTGCCCAGTTAACCACTTTTTACTGTCTGTCCAAACAGGTCTCACTTGTAAATGAGTCTTTGAGGCTCAATGTGATTTATCTGTTTAAATAAAGGTTTAATACACCGACCGACACAGTCTGGTCGGTGCCATAAAAGAACCTTGGTTCGGTACTCAGCCCTGTGAGCGTTATTGCAGCCTGGTACATGTCAAGACAAAGTTTACTGAACTTAACTCAGCTTGGACTACTGTATCCTTCCTTCAAGGCTTTTCTCTTATCGTGGGTGGGCGTGGTCCCTAACACCTGCGATAAACGAGGGAGTACTGTATTACTTAGAATAGTCCCATTAGATGATTTGAAGTCTTCTGTGTTCAGTAGAGAGGTTTTATAAATCTCATGTTTGTTCCAGTTTATACATTTCAGGGATTTGCTCTGAAAGAGGTTACCTCATGTGTGCTCCCTCCGTCATCTTCCCAGAAGTCCTGACTTCCTGTGTGTGTGTGTGTGTGTGTGTGTGTGTGTGTGTGTGTGCATGTGCGCGTGTGTGCGTGTGTGTCAGTGCTCGTGGCAATGCAGAGAGTGAACTCATCACTACGTGGGAACAACCCCCAGCTCACCTTGACCTGCCTGATGACTTCTGACCTCCTGCTTCCAGAGGTGTTTCCGTCTGCTGCAACACTTTATCACCACGAGCTGCAGCAGCTGCAGAGACAGGCCGCGCAGGTAGACACACTCACGTGAAGGCACACACATGCCAGGTGTTCGGTTCACCACAGGTGTTTTTGGTGTTGGCTCCAGGGCGAGCTGCAACAGGAGGAGCTCTTTGTTGCCGTGGAGATGCTGTCAGCTGTCGCTCTCATCAATCAGGCCTTGGAGGCGAGACATGTGCAGAAGTTCAGCTCGTCATTGGTCAGTCCATCTGTGGGCCTCTCTGATGTAGACCACGCCCTGATGAACAGGTGCAGCTCCGCCCCGTGTGACCTGGAGACGTCCTCGCTGTGGCTGACCCTCTCCTCTGCTCCTCAGGTACCTGCAGCACTTGGCAGGTGAGCAGCAGCAGCTGGACACACATCTGCTCACCTGGAACCAGCTGCAGGAAGGAGTCCAAGCTGTGAACACACACGTGCAGGACGAGCACCAGAGTAATTACACACACATCACACAGACACACAGCACACACAGACACACGCAACACAGAGACACAACACACACAGACACACAACACAAAGAGCAACACAACACAGAGACTCACACAGACACACGCAACACAGAGACACACCACACACAGACACACAACACAAAGAGAGACACAACACAGAGACTCACACAGACACACGCAACACAGAGACACACAACACACAGACACACAACACACAGAGAGACGCAACACAGAGACACACAACACACAGACACACAACACAAAGAGAGACACAACACAGAGACTCACACAGACACACGCAACACAGAGACG